ATTGGGTAAATTACTGGCATATGGGGAAATTTTATTACATGACTTAAAAAGGAAGAAAAGCATGATACAAATTATGCAAATTTTCCTGATTATTTTTAATTCGGGGCTTTACTGGCATACAGGGGACAGTTCTTTGGGTCTGCAATTAAAATAAATAATAACACCAACACAAATAACCATAATTCAAGTATCAAAATACAAAACATAAAAAAGTTTCTTCTCAACAGTCTAAGTCCACCTGGGGACATCTAAAACCTCTAACTAAAGGTTATTCAGCATGTTTTGGCAAGATGAAAAGAGCAAAGTCAGTTACTGGCACAGGGGCTGATAAGGTGACACAAATTTGCTTCCTGAGCATTTTGGCTTCTGCTGCTCAAGTCAAGCTCCCAAATGTGCATATGAAGATGGAACATGCTAATTCTACAACATTGGGGTGTCAGCGTAACTGACTGATGAATCAGTGACCCATAGCTGTGTGACTTTAGGTAAGTCAATTTTTTTAATCCTTGCTTTTCTCTTATTTTTTTAAATCAAGAAAGCCATGTCTACTGTACCTCTTTAATGTTTGTAGTAATGCTCTGTCAAAAGTGAGGTATTATGGTTATCAGGTAAAACTTCATAAAAACTTTGCCAGGCAGTTGATTGATATTGGACAAAGCCCTGCTATGAGATTTTTCTAAGCTATGAGATTTTTAAGGGAAGAAAAATTACATTTTCCCCCCTAAATTGTTTTTCTGCAGGGCTACAAAAATGTGGGACAAACCATAATCTATTATTTTTTTAATTTCAAAATATTATTCATTTTTTTGGAACGTTAATGCCAGAGTTTCCAATCAGAAGCCTGGTTGTCAAAAACAAATGCTGCCTTCAATTCATGGTCACTAAATGCATGGGGATTAAGCTATTCTTAGTCTTGAGACTAAGGTTCAAATTGGCTCATGTCAGTAAATGCACAGTCATCACTCAATTCATTTGATAGGGTTGGTTTTTAGTTCTATTGTTAAGAATAACTGTTTAAAAATAACCAAGCCTCCAGTGTTCGTGAGAGTTGACTGTTTCATCACACATTGGCTAAGGCTAAATTGACCCTCTTTAGGAGGCAATTTAAAATTAATTGTAAAATTCCAGTAAATTAAATATTACTAGCAGAAATGATTGATTATAATTAAGAAAAACTTAGTTGAATTAACATAAGATTTCAACTGATAAATTTTTAAAATTATGATTAACAAATGTCCCAAGAAAACAATGTTCTTAGCATATAGAATCCATTGAGTTTTTTTTAGAGCAAAATTGAGTGTTTAATATAGCTACATATGACTTTGCTTTGGCATCAGATCAGTCTAATCTTAAATATGTAGGAATATTAACACTGTAAGTATGAGATACATTTTAAAACAATTTTATTGAAATTTATAGGGATTAGACTTAAGATTTTGGAATCAATTTTGAGAGGCAAAATACTTGTTTTTTTTGTTTGTTTGTTATTTTACTAAATTCAGCCTTTTTTAAAAATATGTATTTGTAATCTCATTATTACTTTTTTTTTCCAGAAGAGAATCATCAAAATAACATGTGAGTTGGCCCAGGTTCCTCACAGATAATTTGTGATGAAGCCAGATACCATGTTCATAATTCTGTGATGATCAATCTGTGCCCAGCTCCCTTGGCCGCAAGGCTTTTCCTCAATATTTAACACTTCCACACATTTTTCCATAATGCCTTTACAACGCAGATGTCATCTGATAAAATCTTCTTGACTCTTTCATGAAAGCTAAACTTTCCATATTCTCAAGAACTTTATTTCTTTTCTATTTCTAATAATATTAGAACTTTATTTCTTTTCTATTAGAACTTTATTTCTTTTCTATTTCTAATAATATTAGCTCACAGATACAAAAGTATTTACCCAGTATTAACCTCCCTAGCCCATGTCCTAGGCTGAAATTATGCAAGAATGTATTTTAAATTGAGTTGACAAGTATCCAATAAACCCATATTGTTATTTTTTGTTAATAGAATTCTATATCATCTCACCATAGCTTAAAAATTCCGTAACAACATCACTTCTCAATGGATTTATGTTTCAAGAGGTTTAGACAAATAGCTAGTGATTTCAAAAAAAAAAAAAAAATTATTTCCTGGGAAAAAAATGTAATCTGGGACCCCAGAAAAGGATTCTCTCTTTGTTAATTTTCTTTAGTCCTGTTTTATCGTGTTCTCACACTACCTGGATTTGAAGATTTGATGATTTGATAAAGGTTCAACTTGTATGCTTAAAGTCAGTAGCTTGTAAGAAATGATAAAATGCATTATGCAACTCAAATTGCTAGTGTAATAATATTACTAGAGACCACAGTACCTTGATATTACATCTACTTATCAACCTCGCCAAAGCTCTAAAGTGATTAAGGTTCCTTAGAACTGGTCACTGTACAAGTACTTACTTTTAGTTATATTTTTTTGTTCACAAATCATTTAGTCTTATTGCTTTGAGAGCTGACTTGTTGGTCATGAAAAGAACATGATCCCATTTTCTGTGGTCTTAGTAAACTTGACCAAACTATACGATACTTCACTTGATCATAAATACTAACCATCAGATTTAAGTTCAACTCAGCTATCCAAGAAGGATAACTTTCCATCACTGAGAAAAGAGAAGACACTCAGATTGAAGGTAATTCTTAGTCCTTTCACACCAGAGCATTGATAAGCCAACCAAGGAATTCTTTAAACTCTGTGACTCTTTGTAACTTGCACAAACTTCTAATCAAGTAGCACATGCAAAGTTTTTCCAAGGCAGCACCTGTCCTCCATCACCATTCAGAATTCTGGTAAGGTATAACTCCATTCTTGGAAGTAACAAACAACCTTACAGGCCTTCTGAGGATGATATATCAACATATCTATCTTTCACTGAAAGCCCTGATATCATTCTCAGAACTTGTAAGTGGGCAATGGAGATTTGTCATATAAATGATCCATTTTACTGCCTGATAGTAGACTCTGTAGTTATTGAAGCATACCTTAGAAAGACCAGCAGAGGTGCTCCAGAAATCAGTCTGCCCTTTTCAAGAAGACCAACAGCAATCAATGTGTAAAACATTCCTTGTCAGGATTCAATTCAAATACAGGCATACCTTGAAGATATGGTAGGTTCCTTTTCAGAGCACTGTAATAAAGTGTGTCTTGTGATAAAGCAGGCCCTAATCTTTCTGCTGACGAAGGCTTTCACCTTCAATTTGTAAAAAACACAACACCTGTGATGCAAAGTGAAGTACAATAAAAGGAGG